CTGCTACCTTAATACTAAACCTATAAATATATGCACATATATCTATCTCTCCATTATCATATATAAATATATTTACATATGTCCATGTCTGTATTTACACGCTATAAATGTCCTTTGCCTCCTAATTCCTTCCTCTATTTCCTTTTACTTTACTCTTGTCCCTCTATCATGCTCAGCCTTCATTTGGGTTTCAGTAATTCCTCTCGGTTACAGTGCCCTTGATCAAGCCCTACCAGACCTCCTACACCCTCACCATTGATTTTAGGTCACTTGTTGTTCCCTTGTCAGAGTCCACCTTCTGGATGAGGCACTTGGCTCTTCTTTACACACACAGCCCCTCCAGCAGCTCCCCATGTCTGTCAACTGCAGCCAGACACTCCCTCAGCTCCCTGACGTGGCCCCACGTGGGCTCTGGCCAGCTTGAAAGTTTCACTGGCATTGCTTGGCTGGGCTTAATGGCTTCACTCCCTTCCCAGCTGTGGGTCCAAAGTCATATTTTCTTACAGGCTTTCAAAGGCTCTTCGCCTTTAAACAGTATTGACGCTTCGCCATTTATAGGACAAGATTGTTGACTAGCTTTTAATTTTGTGTATGGTCTCCACTGATAGAGGAGAGTGTGAGTTTGCTTCAGTGAGACTTATCGATATTTTTGTGATTTTGTTGTCATGCTGAGAAAGTCAGTCTCTGCGCAAAGACGACAGAAATAGTTACGCTTCTCTTTTGCTCCTCTGTGGTTTCTTTTTACATACTGACATTTTTAATCCATCTAGAAATTGTACGTGTGTACAGGGAGACAGGGATTAAAAGGAATAACAGCTTTGCATCATGGAAATACTCACCCATATTAAAGAATAGAGAGACTATCATGATGAACTCCTATGTACCCGTCACTCGGTTTCAACAATTCTTGGTTTGTGGCCGGTCTGTTTCATCCGCACACAGCTTCCCTGCTACACACCATCCCCACATGCTGAATCAGTTTAAGCAGATCTTGGATAGCCTATTATTTCATCTGTAAATGTCTCTGTATGCATGGACAGGATTTGATGGTTTTTCTTTTTAAAATAAATACCTAACCATTGTGCCAACATGATCATTTTTTGTGCATATCCAAAAGAGACTTGAGAAGTAAACCCAAAAGATGGTTCTCTCAAATGACCAACTCAGTCACCCTCTTTGCAAGTCTATGCACAGTGAGGGGAGAGAACAAATATGCAACACTATGTATGAGAAAAGGGATACAGAATCACTGGCAAAGA